GGGACTTCCAAGTCGTCCCCTTGTAGGTCTCGAAGAACTCCTTCGTGTTCCGGAACGCGTCCAACTCCAGCCCCGTATCGGGCACGCCGACCTCCCAACGGTACAGCGCGGAGCACTCCAGCACGCTAGCAAGGAGCCAGCCGGCCATGGAGACGAGGGCGTAGCTGTGGAATGAGGGCGACTGGATCATCTTCCACATCCTTCAGGCGTGGATTGATCCAGGCTCAGCGCAAACTTTGGAAACAATGAGCTGCAGTGTTTGTTTGGGAGCTTCCCGAGCCCGGCTCAAGCGATATCGAGCGGCTCCCAAACCTGGCTCAGCGCAACTCCAGCTTTGCAAGATCCTGCAGGATCCAGCGCTCCGGCTGAGCCCCGTTTGCGCTGAACCCTGTTACGTGCGCCCGAATCCTCGGGTGCAGGTGGAACTTACCGGCGACCACCCCCGAGTCCGAGTCCCTATCTTTCAGCTCCCTGAAGTAACGGAGCCCTAGCACAAATCCCACTATCCAGTAGGAGCGGATCAACAGGCTCTGCGCGATGGCTACTATGCCGCATCCACTGTCGTAACTTCGCTCGCCCACGACAACGTCCATCAAGACCCAGGGTATCGTGAATGTCCGGGACAAGAAAAAGGAGATGAATGCCACGTTAGCGATCCCCTCCGTCGGCCAAACTGTCGCAAAGATCTCCACCACCATCACCCATGCCTTCACCCTGAACCTGTGCTGCGAGGAATTCTGCCGCCGCACACAGCGCAGCATGCACACGGTGAACGCGGTACACCGCAAGGTCAGCCTCAGGACCTTCAGCAGCCCGTGCGCGAGCGCCAGCAGCGGGAACGACTTCCACTTCTCCCCGGGCGGCAGGAACCCCTTCTCGGGGGCGCAGTAGGGCACGAGGGCGACGATGAGAAGCACGTGCTGCGCCACCGCCACTGGGCGCTCCTGGGAACACTCGGAAATTGACGGAACCGCTACTCCAGATTTCGTAATAAAAGGCGGGGGGTCTCATTTCGGGGGGGGGGGGGGGTCTCTTCCAGGCCATCTTGGAGGGCCTGGGGGGGTCTGGGGACGATGTTTTGGAGGGTTCTCCCACGGGGGGGGGTCTGAAATGGCTTGTCCTGGAGGGTCCAGACTTCCTCCCTTTTACTACGAAATCTGGAGTACTCCCCCGACTTCACCCAGGGGGCGCGCTCTGACCGGACCCTCGAGGCGACTCCATGGCCGAGGCGACGGGGGCCCCCCGAGGGGCCCCGCGGGGGAGCCACGCGGCAAGGGCCTGGCGGTATAGAGCGGCACCCCATCTTCCCCCTCCGAGCTCCCGGAAGGACCACAGCAGCCGCTCGGAAGCCCGCGTGGTGATCGCCAGCGCCTGGTCCCAGTCGTCGGACGCCTCGCTCCGCTTCGACGCCTCCCGCGGCAGCGTGGCCGGCGCCGCGGCCGGCGCCGCCGAGCAGCTCGGGACCGCGTCGCACGAGCTCGCCTGGGGGGGGACGTCAGTCTTGGGTCCTCTTTTGCTCCTTCGGAAGCGACCGCCGCTCGAAAGTCGTTCAGGCAAACCCAAAACGACCATACTCAGAGCGACCACTCTGAACTCGTTCGGGCATACTCGAAAGATTCGGTAAATGACCGAACGCTGCGAAGAATTTAGGTGACCCCCCTTTCACTCCCTCGATCTGATTATCCACGGGGTGCATGTGGGTTCAAATTGCCACAAGAAGAGCGGGGGCCGAACTTTGGGCGAATTGTGCAATCCAACCCCAAGCTCGCATCGTCGCTTTAATCTTCATATCATGCATAGCACCATGAGTCATATCATTATAAATTTCGGGCGGATGTGTCAAGAAGCGAAACGCAAGTGTTCGACGAGTCGCTGAGGTCATTGAATACCCATCCAGACAGCCCAGCATCCATATCTCCGGGAAGAATATTACCCTCCCAGGGCCCCCAACTTTATTCTCCCGAGGGTGCGATTCCCACGGGCACAGGATTCGGATGCCGACGTTGCGCAAGCAGAACGCCCCCACACGTCCCCTTCCCTGTGTTTTTAACAATCGAGAGGAACCCACAAAATAGTTACGTGCGGCGAGTGTATCGAGATCCGCGCCCTCGCGGACTGGACTCCGGAACGCGATCCTGCGGCTCCGCGGTCGCGGGGGTGAGCTCTGCACGGGGCAACTGCAGAAGAAACCCCTGTGTCCCGTGGGGTCGCGGCCCAGGGGGAGGAGGAGGAGGAGGAGGAGGAGGAAAAGGGAGGAGGAGGAGGAGGAGGAGGAAAAGGGAGGAGGAGGAGGAGGAGGAGGAGGAGGAGGAGGAGGAGGAGGAGGAAGAGGAGGAGGAGGAGGAGGAGGATGAGGAGGAGGAGGAAAAGGGAGGAGGAGGAAAGAGAGGAGGAGCAGGAGGAGGAGGAGGAGGAGGAGGAGGAGGAGCAGGAGGAGGAGGAGGGGGGGCGGGGGCATGGAGTCGACCTGGGATCGGCGATGCGTCGCCGATACGTCGGCGGTGTGCCCCCCCGATGTGGCGGAACACCGCGCGCTCCTGGGCGGGGTGGGCCCTCGGCCCCCCAAGCGGCGAGGAGTGGGCGACGGCGGGGGTCGAGGGTCAGCGCGCTCCCCCCGCTGGCGTGTCGCCGGACCTTCTTCTCCTCCTCGTCGTCCTCCTCCTCCTTCTCACACTCCTCCTTCTTCTCCTCCTCCTCCTCCTCCTCCTCCTCACACTCTTCCTTCTCCTCCTCCTCCTCCTCCTGATTATCAAGAAACTTGGGCTCGAGCCTTTTGCTGAGCCCTGCCTCCGTGCCTCGGGGCTTTCTTGCAGCGCTTGACAAACCCTGTTCGTTCATCGGTGCCAGATGGTGAAAAGACATTGATAAACACAGAGGCAATCGCAGTCACCCACAATTTGTGGTGCAGGTGTGAGCAGTGCCAGACGTGCGAATGGAAGCGGATCTACTACGTCGGAAGTCAATGTGCGGGAAACGTGGTTCACAATCGGGCTTTACCAAAGCAAGCCCCGCCGCGTACGCTTCTCACGAATGGAGGCGCAGGATGATGAGTGCTTCTACGACATCACAAGCGAGAGTGAGGGAGCAGGTCGTAAGCCGCTACCCCCCGGTATCCCGAGGAAGGGAGGCACGGGCGGCGGCAAGGGTGGCAAGGGCACTTCGGCTCGCGATCCTCTGCAGCAGGCCTTGGCTGCGGGCCCTGACAGCATGCTCGATTATGCCGCAATGAGTCCGTCGGCGGTTTCGTGTGGCAGGGATGTGGCTCCAGTTCGGGATGTATCTTGGAAGCCCCACGCCGGCCCCATCGACGCCCTGGGCGCCTCTGGACAGCCACCTGGGAGCGCGCGAGCTCGCAGTGCCCCGCCGCCTGCCCCGAGGCCAAGGGTTCAGATGCGCAGCTGGCGGGAGTTCTGCCGCCTCCTGGGGTGGAGCCATCGGGCAAGGGCCTTCCGAACCCCAGGAGCGCGGAGAAACACATTACACTCACAGAGCCAAGGCTGCAATCCCTCGAAGGTGTGTGAAGCCCAGCCCCACCCTTCGGCAGACGCCCCGGGTGATCAGCACCAGCAGCAGCAGCCCACCACCATGAGCCCCGAGCCACAGCCTGAGCCCTCTGTTTTTGAAGTCCGATGGAGAGTGGGAGCCAGGGTTGGGTTTCGATCGGGAGCTCGCGTGGTGGCTGCTACCTCCCCTCCCCTCACCTCTCCTAGAGACCGTTTTCCTTTGAATCGGCGATAACCCTGGTTATCCCTGGGGGGGGGAGGAGGGGGCCGGCCGCCGATAACCTAACCCTCGCGCTGTGGGTAACCCTGCATATGCCCGCGCCCCCCCTCCCGCGGACCTGCACAACCGGCACGGTTAGTCTATCCTTGGGGGGAGGGGAGGGGGGGCAAGCCCGATAACCCGGTTTATCGCCCGACCCTAAAAAATCAGTCTCCTGGTCCGTAGCCTTTCCGCTCGCACCTCGGCGCAGCACGCGCGTGTCTCCGGCGCGTGTGCGGGCCAGGCCTTGGCGGTCGTTATAAGGCCGGCCGTGCCCGCCGTGACATGCGGGCAAGTCCTGGGATGCCTCGGGGCGATGGCCCCGTGGTTCGTCGAGCGCCCGCTGCGGACCACGGCGCAGGCGCGCCCGCTGTCGCTGAGGGATCAGCGCAGCCAGTGGCGTGGACACGCGCTCACGCAGTGCTCGGTGGGGTCTCCCGCCACAGGCGACGCCAGAATGGGAAGCGGCAGCTCGGCGAGTGTGCCAAGATGTGCGGGCAGTTGTGCGACGCGAGGCCGGACAACGCGCGCGCCATCATCGACCCAGGCAAGGGGCCACCCACTTACCACGGCGCCACCAGTTCTGGACTCTTCTGTTGATGGTGCGAGGAACCTTCAGGCCAGGGCGTAGATGATTGCGATTAGAGGGTCGATGCATGCTTCCAGACAGTTGGTTACGGACCCCGTCCCGAACGTCATCTTGCACAAGGCCCTGAATCAACAACCAACGCATCCACCAGATCTCGAGGTAGACGGAAGGTCCTGATTCACCTGACCCAGCTGATGGACAGAAGGCTTTTGCATTCGGAAAGTTGCGGGCCCCGAGGGCCCCAAACCTTAGTGAGGTGCGAGAGGTGTTCGGACTTCTTCGAGACGAAGCGCAATAGGATACGCTGCCAGACATCACAGCTCACCAGATCTATCGTAGCGCGGGGGCCATGAAAGCCAAGGCTGGCCTTGGCGTGGATATGACGAGCCAGGTGGATGTTCAGCGACTCCCCCAAGAAGCAGTACAGGACCTGGTGCTCCTGCTCCACGGCGTCGAGCACGTGCTGGCCTGGCCAGTCCATGTGCTCCTTCTGCGGCGAGACAGCTTACCCCCCAAGAAGCCCAGAAGTCCAGCGGGGACCGAACCATCGGCATCGACTCCATGCTGTCGCGGCTGTGGTCCCACATCCGCGAGCCACTGGTGCCATCGATGGTGCAACGAGTCTGGATTGGTACTATATTGCAAGACACGACGGGCTCAAGGCAGGCTGTCAGCAAATCGGTTGTCATGTGTACTACGTGGCAGGAAGCGCACACGGCGGTCAAAACCATCAGACTTCGAATATTAACTGTCAAGGTTGTTCAGCAAGCGGCTTATGTGAGAGTTGACTTCAATCGTGGTCGAACTGGGCGTTCCACACGGACGCAAAGACAGAAGAAGCACAAGCGTATGCCTGGCAAAGTTGCTCGGTATCGCAAGGTGGGCCGAAAGTACGCCTGATTACCAACGCTGGAAAAGAACGGAGGGTAACCTGCAGGCACCTATGGATTTCAGGTCCACGGGATCTTCGGGGAGCAGCTGAACACATGCAGGAGACGGTTGGTCTAGACTTACGCGAGGGGAGCGCGAGAGAGCTGCCTGACCACACTCTTGGACTTGCGGGCCTCAGACTGCGTCTCGAGAGTGGCCCATGCGGGGAGGTGTATTGACATGTGGCCAAACACACCAAGAGCTGAGGAAGAGCATCCTACACGTGTGGCCAAGGATTGTGGAGTCTGTGCGCGGCAAGCATACAGGCGAGCAGGCACGGGCAGTCGAAGGCCCGATGTCTGCCACCACCTTCGCGCTCTTACGCTTGAAGTGGGACCCCATCAACACGTTTACGTTGTCATACGCCTCGCAGTGCAACACGACGGAAGAGTGCCAATTCCCAGATGAGATCTACACTGGCAACAGGGACCTTGTCAGGCACCGAGCCATCCTCGCTGACGTGCAGAGGCCGGTGGAGATTGTCCAGAGGAGGCAAGTTGCAAACCACTTTTGTGGGGGCGGCATGGAGGAGGGGTTCGATAACGAGTCCTTCCGCATGCTGCTTCGCCAGGTCAACCCGTTGCCATGTGGCATTCTGCATTCGTCTAGCGGAGGTCTTGGTCAACATCGGGACAGGTGGGTTTTGGACCAAGAAGCGGAAAGCGAATGAACTCAAACATGTCGTGGTTATTCAGAGTGCGACCGTTGCCCTGAACATCTTGAGACCCCATGCCATCGTTCGTCGAGCTGTTCAAAGAAGTCTGGGGCGCTGCCGTACGCAGCACTGGAGGAGCTGGCGACCCAGGCTCCCGCCCACATCAGCACGGCGGAGAGCTTCCGGCTGAGGGGACTCCTTCTGGCACGCCGGCTCGAGGTCCCGAGGCCACCACAGCATGACCGGTGGCAGTTATTGCGGGAATCAGTGAACTGTCAAAGGGTGTGTTCGACAGTGGTTAGAGGAAAAAGAACTATGCACATATACCGATTCTGGCCAGGCCCATCCTGAGCCCAGGATCGGTGCATACGCCCTCCTACCTTGGCCAGGAAGGCATATGCACCGATCCTGGGTCAAGGATTTGCCTTGCCAAGATCGGTGCATGTGCATAGTTCTCTTCGCCCGAAATGGTGCTGCCGACGGGCCCATCCAGATTTATGGTGCCGCTAGTGGATGTACCGACTCGGCCATGTGAAGGCTAAAACGTAGAGTCGGGGCGGCGATCGTGCGCAAAGTATTTGGCCCGAGTTGCGAGTCGCTGGTGCTGTCTATGGCCCGTTCGTTGGCTGGTGACCGCCAGATAGCACCGAGAGGATCGCTCATGGTGTTGTATCTTTCGCATTGGGCATCAACAAACTATTTGACACACGCCACGGACTGCGAAGGTATATCCCAAGGATGGTACGAGAATCGATTATTGCTGCCGTCTAGAGAGGATGCGGATGTGTGGCAAAAAAAACGCGGATGGAATGCTCTATCTCGGTGTTTTCAGGATGCTGTCGTGCTGTGGACACACTCACACATGGGGTCCGAGGAGATTTTGCAAGAACGGGTGTTCGATCGTTACTAATAGGTTATATGTTTGCCGACGAATTTGCGGGCTTCGCCGCCGAACAGGCCCGCCTGCCAAGAAGTATGCGAACCCGTGCCCTCACCCACGAGAGACGGGCCTACCTGGTCCGTATGAGATTGTTGAGAGCGGCCCTGGACAGGTTGCAGGCCACCCAAAGCTGAGCGTGAGGAAACGATGGAAAACTCTGCCTGCTGCCGTCGCTGCTGCCTTTAATCCAATGCCGTCTGGCCGAATGCCGACGGAAATGTCCTCGATGTTTTGGATATGCTACCGCAGGCACTGCTAAGGAGTTTCGGCTGTCTGAGTGGAATCACCTTTATAACGTGGACGGGGTCATCCCAATTCGGCGGTGGACAAACCTCCCTTTAGCAAACCACCCTTTCGTGAAAACGGCCTGGGGCCGAAACCGACGGACCTGGACCCGCAAAGATGACGGCCGCGACGCCCTCTCGCGAACCGAAATATTATCCAATTCGCTAATCGACGTGTCAGGGTAGGAGGTCTATCAACCTTTCGGGAGCGGCCAAGAGGGGGGTGTCCAAGAGGGGGGGTGCAAATCATGACCAGCGGCATGTGCGCGGCCCAGCGGGGGGGCCGGGGACGTAATGAAATAAGAAGAGGCGCCGTGAAATCTGGGGACATATCATGGCCCACGCCATGATTTCCACCCCCCCTTAGTCATCACCCCCCCTTTTCCGCCCCCGAAACCTTGGAGGAATCACCTTGATAACGTGGACGGGGTCATCTCAAGGGGCCCAGCATTCACGTTGCGGGGGGGCTGGGCGCACACTGCACACACCCTGAACTTACACCAGTCACTTCGGGTATGGCCTTGCAGTGCCTGCGGGGCCTTCGCAGACGAGGCCATCTGATCACTCAGGTTACCTTCTAAACTTAGTTTGTCCAAGCACGGTAGGGAATATATTGACAGGATCCATCGGAGGTTGCAGCCCAAGGTCCTGAGCCGAGCCGAGCAATCGGCTCGCTCGAGCGTCCCTTCCAGGTCAGGCTAAGTCACCCCGAACTTGCAGCGCAACGGGGTCCACTCCAACCCACTCCGCTCCTCCCTCCTGATCCTCCTTCCCAGCTCACTCCCCCCCTGAACCTGTCCGCCTCCTGACGTTGGTTGTACCCCGATCACCGACTCGCTCCGGACGAACTCCCGGACCTGGGGGTGCCGATACAGCTACTCCCTGGACCTCTCCCGAGGTGCACGCTGAGCAGACTCTCGAGGCGAATCCAGCCGTGGCCACGGTGGTCTCCAAGGAGCCCCAGAAGGGTACAAATGAGGCAAGGGGCAGCGGTACAAAAATCGGTCGACTTTTTCTTCCCTCCTCCGAAGACCGGGGAGAACTCCCGGACGAATTCCGAGTCAAAGCGCCGCAGCTCGCTGTTGGGTTCCTGCCAGCACGGAGCAAAGGGCTGGCCCTGCGGGAAGCGGGCCCTGGGCTCATGCTGTTCACATCGTGCTGAAAGACCACATCCTAGAACCAGTTTCGAGCATCCCTGGATACTAGAGTTCGGGGTCCAGGAGGACCTGAGAATCCCGAGAATCCTGAGAATACTCCCGTGGTGATACTAGTGTTAGGGGTCCAGGCGGGATAATAAACTTTTCCTAGAGGTATCGATGTTAGGATGAGAATCTTCATGGTGCCATGCACGAGATGAAGCTTCGAGCTATGATACAAATTTTGGAGGGGATAATAAAGGTCGGCCCCCCGTCTGTTTTGGCAATCGAGCATCCCGGAAAAATAATCGAAACGGTCTGCCCGACACGCTGGCGAAGTGCCGCACGAGCATCGCCTCCCAGGGCACGACGCGCGAAAACCGTCCAGTTTCGATGTCTTCTTGGTGCTCGACATTCTTTCTGGTGATCTGGAACAGCATAGCCCTGGCATAGGGTGAAGTCGGGCCTGTCCCCCTACGGGGGGATTTGGGACGGAAAACAAAGAAATAGCCAAACAGTGTTCAAACATTGACATTGCCAGAAAATGCTGACAAAAATCGTCCCCATACAGTGTGGGCGCGGCCGCAAAAAAACCCTCGCAAGAAACCCAACCCTGAGAACCCGTGCGCGAGGTGTACCTGAGGGGAAACCCGGAGCACCCCGAACGCAGCAGCTCCTTCGGCGGCTGCGGGAAGTCACCGCGCAGCGCGAGGAGCGAAGAAACCCAGGATGCCCTGACGAACAATATCTGGCTTCTTGATGCGCGCCCCCACTGTAGCCAGAACATGCTAACACAAATCGCCCCCATACTGTTTTTGATCATCTCGCTCCATCTCGCTCTCTCTTTCTCCGCGCGCGCGCGCCTGCCAGAGGAGGAGGAGGAGGAGGAGGAGGAGGAGGAGGAGGAGGAGGAGGAGGAAGAGGAGGAAGAGGAGGAGGAGGAGGAGGAGGAGGAGGAGAGGGGGAAGGAGAGAAAGAGGGAGGAGGAGAAACCGGCGCCCCCGCGGGGGGCCCGGGGGGGGGGGCGGCGGCTCCAGGCCGGGGAGAAGGCGACCCGCGGACGAAGTGGTTCTCCTTTTTTGAGTCCCGCTCCCGTCCCAGACCCCCGACGTCATGATTTTTTCATGACGCGACCCCAGAGGTCCCGACCCCTTCCCCGGGACCGGCTTTTCGTCCTGAGTCGTTTTTTGACGGCCCCGAGGCCCGGTGAGGGCCCCCAGAGGCCGAAAATGGCGAAAAACCTCCCGTCATGATTTTTTCATTGCTCGAGGGGGTCTGGGGTGGAGGCACAGGCCCGCCCCGAGCCGAGGGGCCCTCCGCCGGGCCGCCCGCCCTCCCGGCCGCCCCGCGGGCGGCCCCGCGCCTGCCTCCCTCCAGGGCCGCCCGCCCGCGGGGGCTCTCTCCGAGGCCTCCGGGTCGCCCGCCCGCGGGGGCTCCCTCCGAGGCCTCCGGGTCGCCCGCCCGCGGGGGCTCCCTCCGAGGCCTCCGGCGCCTTCGGGGCGCCTTCGGGGGCGCCCCGCGGGCGAGGGCCGCCCTCGGGAGCCCTCCGGCCCCCGGGGGCCCGCGCGCTCGGATCCGCGCGCGCCCGCGCGCCGAGGGGAGGGGCGCCCCGGGGCCGGAGGGGCGCCCTCAGGGTGGCGCGGCCGTCGGGGGCCGCGGCGGGGCCGGGCTCGGCTCGGGTCGGGGGGAGGGGGGAGAGGGGAGAGAGGAGGAGAGGAGGAGAGAGGAGAGGGGAGAGAGGCAAGCTCGCTGCGCTCGCGTCACATCTGACGTGCTGCCCCTGCCGCCCATCCCTGACCATGGCGTAGATCTCATCTCGATTCATTCGCACAGTCGGACGTCGTACCAGGGCAGATCATTACACGGCATAGCATGGTGTTGAAGATCAACGCGTAGCCTGACGCCCCAAAGCGGGGGGGAGCTTCTGCGGCACAAAAAATCAACGAATCGGCACCGAATGTTTAATAATCACTTCCCATGGTTGCTTCGGGGAGCCATTTTCAGGTTTTGGGGTCCTATTTGGAAGGACCGACAACCATGCCGTGGCATGGCGCTGGAAATAATGACGCCAACGCTGCAGCGGGAGCACGATTCGGAACGAGCGGAAGCGCGGAAATGAAGCCAACGCTGCAGCGGGAGCACGATTCGGAATGAGCGGAAACGCGGAAATGAAGCCATCGCCTCAGAAAAAGCAGCATTTGAAACTACAAAAACACAAGCGAAAACACAACTCGCCGACATCCTGTGGAAAAAACAATGCGCCAGGGGGGGGCCGAACGCTCCGGGACATATTCCGCCACAGACTCAGCGGAGAGAGGAGAGTAGTAGTCGTATTGAGTAAGTGTAGATCGGAGAGAAGAGAGAGGAGAGAGGAGAGAGGAGCGAGGAGGAGGAGGACGAGGAGGAGGAGGGACCTCAGGATGGCTTGTGCAGGAGTGTGGGCAACCCTGCCTCCTCCCCCCCCCCTCCCTCCGGACCGGGCATGTCCCCCCCTGTGACCTGTGTAGGAGGGCAAAAGAACCACCCTCACGATACAATCGGACGTGGGCCAGAAGAGCACGCCGCAAGAACATGAGACCCTCCGTCGGCCAGAACGAACAAAAGATCCAAGGGTACCCTCCCCAGGATGCACAAGAACATCGGACTTGATTGGACAGGACACGCGAGATGACACAAGACCCTTCCGAGGACCAAACTACCATTGGAATATGGGAGGCATGGGCCGCGAGGCACAGGACACAAGGGTACCCTTGATTTGGCAGAGTCAACTTACTAATCAGGTGAGTACCGCGAGGTTCCTCGGCAATCTCTGGAAATCTCCGAGGTTTCCTCCAGAGGTCTCCGGAGGTCCCCAGAGGCTTCCAGAGGCCCAACACATACACACACACGCACACACGCGCACACACAAGACCCTCGATCTTCCAACCTCCATGCCATAGCCCTTTCCGGACCACGCCAGGTGGGGACGGCCCAGCACTCCGACACCATAATCTGTCCATTCGGTGGTTCGAAGATGTCGGGAGCGGCAAAGAGGGGGGGGTGCAATGGGGGGGGGTGCAAATCATGACCGGCGGCATGTGCGCGGCCCAGCGGGGGGGCCAGGGACGTAATGAAATAGAGGGGGCGCCATGCAATCTGGGGAGATATCACGGCCCCCGCCATGATATCCCCCCCCCCCCTAGTCATCCCCCCCCTCTTTTCCGCTCCCGAAGATGGTGTCCTCAAGGATAGGGGCCTAAGGTAGAGGGCAGAAGCACCACCCTTTGCAGTAAGCACCTCGGCGAGCCGAGCCTGTAGCAAGCGCACCCAGGGCAGGGATCGAAGCGTGCAGGGCTGTTCCGTAACCGCCCAGTGCTGTCTAGGAAGCGCCGATTGTGGCGTCGGGGTGCCGTTTGTGCCCTTGGCTGCGGGCCCGCGCCAAAGCTCACCCTCACGAAGGGTTCACTCTTCCCAGTCCCCCGACGTCATGACCCTTCTGCCTCCTCGACCCCCAGAGGCCGCGACCCATTTGCCGGACCAGTGTCTCGTCCCGAATCGCTTTCTGACGGTCCTGGGGCCCAGCGAGCGCCCCCCCGGAGGCCGAGAGTCGCCACAGACCTTTCCGTAGTGCTTTCTTCACGACTCGAGGGGGTCTGGAGTACCACTGGCTCCACTCGCGCGTCGAGGCTGCGTCGAACGCACGCCGACCCAAGTCGAACTTGAGTCGACATTGAGTCCAAGCTGAGTCGAACATGGGTCGAACCTGAATCGAACCTGAATCGAACAGGACCGTCAGGTGGGCCCCAAGAAGAAGGCCCCCAAAAGGAGCATCGAGGAGGGACCCGTTGGCTTCAGTAGAAAAAACAAAAAAACGCATAAGCAGAAACTTTCTGAACTCCGTGCTGATCTCTTGGATCCGCGCTGGGCCCCCCTCCCTGGTGCGCGGAGCGCGCCCGGGGCGGCGCCAGAGGCGCCGCCAGGTGGGCCCAAGCGCCGATCCAAGAAATCCGCGTGAAATTCTGACTGTGTTACGCTTGGCTTTCTTAGCATGTTTATGATCAGTATTATTCTTCTAATCATGGTTATTATTAGTAGTATTCGTCTTCTTCGGAATTGATATTGGGTCGTGCATGTCCTCCTACATGTGGATGTGATGGTCAAATGCTAATAGCAACAATCATTCCCTAACTATTTCTTAAACCGTGTGTAACTATCCCTCCTGCAGCTGCAGAGGGAGGAGGAGGAGGAGGAGAAGGAGGAGAAGGAGGAAGAGGAAAAGGAGGAGGAGGAGGAGGAGGAGGAGGAGGAGCAGGAGGAGGAGGAGGAGGCTGGAGGAGGAGGAGGAGGAGGAGGAGGAGAGAAAGAGGAGGAGGAGGAGGAGGAGGAGGAGGAGGAGGAGGAGGAGGGAGGAGGAGGAGGAGGGCACGAAGCTCGGCGAGCAGTTCGATCTGCAGCCTCGCCTATGCTTGCATGCGGTGCAGAGCGGCCAGTCTCACACCAGCCCGTTGGTCCGCTCCAGCGTCCAAGCCCGCGTCCATGCGGTGCTTCTGGATGTGGTAGCACTGGCACATTAGGCCGACCGAGTAGATGCAGTCCGTGATGGGTCTCTTTGCGTGGTACTGCTCGTCGCCGAAGCCGAGGAGCTCGGCGCCGTTGCCTAGGGAGTCCGCACCAGCGTCGCCCGCAGTCATCGCCCTGAGGATCGGGCAGACGACGTAGTGCTCGAGCGCGTCCTCCGCGTCGCAGCCGAAGAGGCATGGACGCGCGTCGATGACGGCGCTCATGCGGCGAGATGTCGTCCAGCCGTTGACCGCGGTGCGGATCCACGACCACATCCAAGCAGGGCGGACCTCCGTCAGCTTGCCACGCAGCGGAGGCCACCTCTCGCGCAGCTCGGGCAGCGGGCACTCGACTCCCCACCTGCGCAGCCGACGGTGGATGGTGGCCACCAGGTCCTCGGGGTACAGCGAGCCACGGAGCGAAGCGGCGGCCGTGGCCTGGCGCTTGGGCTTCCTGGCGGGGGTGGCCGCTGCCGCCGTCTTCGTCTCCAGGGTCATCGCCGACTTCGCGATCTTGATGAACCTGCTCGGGATCGGAACCGAGAGCACGTCGAGCGTCGGCCTGGGTATGTCCAACTGGCCGTAGGTGTCCGTGATCATGGCGAAGTTCTGTACGATAGCCCTCCGCGTCTGCCACCACGGCGGCGACCAGTTGCCCTTGATCACGTCAATCAGTGGGACGTGCTCCACGGCAGCTTCATGAAGGTGGTGAAGGTGGGCTTCCCATCCGCGAACCGTGTTCTCCGCCGAGCGCATCATCGCCGCGAGCGTGTATGGGAAGAGGCCAATCGGCGACGGGGAACCGCGCCACGCGCTCATCGACAGGATGTCAGCCTTGCGCATGGACGAGGGCGGCAGCCGCAGCAGGCGGTGCAGGGAGGTGAACTCGACCTTCCAGATGGCGGGGACAATGAAGTAGAACTGCGCGAGGTACGACAAGCACGGAAGCGCGTTGATGTTGTACGCGCGGGCTGCAAGGCTGGTGGCCATGCCAGTGCGCGCCAGCTCCCAGCATCGGGTCCACCATTTCCCCGCAGCAGCCTTCCAGATGCCGAAGTCCGTGACGCCTGGCCCCAGGTGAGTCCCCGGGTACTTGGCCGTGGAGTCGACGCGGAAGCCCAGCCAGCGGGGGACCTCCTTAGCGAGGAAAGACTTAACGTTCAGCAGTGTGTCCTCCGAGAGCTCCTCCCGCAGCGGAACCAGCGCGCACTTGTGCAGCGCCAGCTGCAGGTTGAAGGCAAACTCTATGGAGACGAAGGTGCAGTCGATGCTGGGGAGGGCAACAGCGTTCAGCGCGCGGATGGGCGCATCCATTGCCAAGCACCAGGCCGTGCCAGAGAGCGGGCGCCCTTGCATGATGCCGCACGGGAGCGCGAACAGCGGCTCGAGCTCCGCGCTGGCGCCCTCGGCGCGGAAGGAGCTAAAGGCGAGGCAGTTGCTGTAGAGCGCCGCGACCACGTTGCGGAAGCCAATCGGGACCCCGAAGCGCGGGAGGACCTTCTCGATGACTTCCCTGAAGAGTGAGGGGAAGGCCTGACGGAAGTCGAACGACAGGAACATGGGGCGGCGGGTCGCCGCGTCAGGAAGAAGGCCCCCCCTACGGCATTCCGCGTCCAAGTACGGGATGTGGTCGACGAAGCGCCGCCCAGCAGTGAAGCCCTTCTGCTCGGGCGAGGTGGATGATGTGGCGATGGGCTGGAGCCCGCGATCTGCGCAGGCCGCTATCAGCTTGGCGTCGCAGCTCTTCAGAGAGAGGGTGCGCACCGTTGAGGCCGTGCGCGTGCAGGAGTCGGGGACGTCGTCCTCCCCCGTGCCCTTCGGCACGCAGATGAAGATCGACCAGTTGAGGTCGAGCGGGGCCACGCCGTCGTTGAAGAGGACTTCCATGCGTCCCTGGAGATGCTGCAAGGCTCCAGGGCTGCGGCGCCATGCTGCGTACGTCAGCTGATCTGGTCCCGCAGCGCTCGGCGGGGCCCTACTGGCCGCACGTTCCAAGTCATGTAGAGCTGGTTGAGGTAGTTCCACCGCAGGGTTCCTTGGTGCGTGCTTGTCCAGGAAGGCGTCCAATGCCTTGAGCTGTTCAGAATTCGGCACCTTCGCGAAGACCTCACCCCAGTAGTTCGCCACAGTCGCCTTCATGCCCGCGGGGTCGGAGACCACGTGCTGAGCCACCTGCGAGTCCTTGGCGGCACACGGTGCAGAATCCACGCGCAAGCCCGAGAGGATCATGCGTCGCCGCCACGGGACCCAGAGCTGCGCATGCCTGGCGGCCTTGCGTTCAACCCTCCGCCAGGCTGCGCTGTCGCGCACGTTGGCCGTCCGAGCTGCTGCCTCCGCCGCCTGCCTGCGCAGGGAGTGCACCCGCTCGGCGATGGCGTCGAAGTTGGTGGCGAAGCTGTGGGGGTCCACGAGGCGCACGGTGCCGTCGGCAATGTGGAGGTGGGCGGCCAGCGCAGGGCAGGAGTCGAGAAGCCTACCTGCCAGGACAGCGTCCTGTCGCCAGACTGCTCGCGCCGCCGACTTGAAACCCATGTACGAGGTCTCGACCGTGGCGTCCTTGACGTGTAGGGAGAAGTTGGTCCGCAGCTGTTCATCACGAACACGTCGCGCAGCAAGCTTCATGCACTGCTTCGCTGCTCTCCAGCGGCCTTCCGCCGTTTCCCCAGCCAGGGCGCAGTGGTCCAGCATGAGCGTGTAGGTCTCAGGGTACTTCCTGTGGTTGAAGAGGTGCGTCGGGATTGGCTGCTCGTCTCGTGGGACATGGCGTGCGGCAGTGATCTGCAGGACGAGGGGCGCGCGGTCGCTGATGCCCTCCTCGGAAAGCTCCATCGCGTCCCTCGCAGTGGTAAGGATCGTCGAGACCGAGGGCATGGCGTGCGCGTCGATGCCCAAGAAGATGCGGTCGATCGTGGACAGCTGCTTGCAGGACATGTCGTAGTGGGTCGGCCACTGAGACTCAACCTCCATAGCTGCAGCGAATAGACGGCGCCACGCAGGTTGCCGAAGTTGGCAACGGTGATCAGGTCGGAGGCGCCAAGCAGTGGTGTCTGAGGGTGCTCGTTGACTGACTGGCGGGCGGGCAGCTATGTTGAAGTCACCGACGCCCAGGAAGATGCGGTGTAACGAGTCGCGGCGCGCCCGCGCCAGGCCACTGGACCAAGTGCGCTGTACTGCAGTGAACTCGTGCGGCTTGAGGTCGTAGTTGTGAATGTTGAAGATCTGCATGCTGCACTTGCCCGCGCAGTCGGTGATCGTGAGGAGCGCCGCGCGGCCGACCGCCACTATGTCGAAGCGGTAGGCCGGAAGAACAGGCGTGGAGTTTCGTGAACTTGACCAGGTGTTGTTCGGTAGCGACGTGGATGTCGAGGGAGAACGTCGTGTACTTGACCAGGTGTCGGAGCAACTTGCTGTCGTAGGTGAAGAGGAGGTTCGCGTACTTGACCAGGTGTCTTGAGTCGGTAAGGATGCAGCAGGGGGCGAGGAACACTCAGGGGGTCTTGCACGCCTCGCCTCGCCCCCGCCTCCCAGAGATTCGGCTCTGGGTCCATCCGCCCCTGGACTTTCGTCGACGCATCGAGGGTCGAGAAAGGCGACTCCGCCCACGGCAGCGGAAGAGCCAGGCGAAAGGAAGCTCAAGTACTTCTGCGGCTGTGACTGGAGAAAAATCCTGAGGGCGTCCTCGGAGCCGTGGACCTCCTGCACGGCGATGATGGCGTTGACCTTCATGTATGTGGCGAGCAGTGCCAACTTGCGTCTGCGCAGCCTCGCGTCCGAGCGGAGCAGGCCACGGGCATTCCACACGACCAGGTGAAGTCCACGGAAGCCATGCCGTGCGCCAGGAGGACGCCATGGCGCCCACAGTGGGTTGCTAAATCCACTCGGTGTTGTCCTCCGTGGAGAAGGCCTTCTTGAACTGCGTGTTGATGGACTCCCTGTCGATGTGCAGCCTGGCGACCATGTCTGGGTTCCACCTGATGATGGCGTCGGTGTAGCGGGATTCTCCCATCTCGAGCTTGGCAACCTTGACGCCCTGGGAGGTGACGATGCCACGGGCCCGCTGAGCACTGAAAGACTGATCAGGAAGAGCTTCTGCCAGCAAAGCCGAGAGCTTCCTCGACTGGATCTCCATCCGTACTTGCTGCGGGGACTTGTCAGGCGAGAGGTACAGCGGGACGACGCCTCCACCGACGCTCTGCGCGCTGAAGGAGCGCCACCCGTTCCTGCCAGCTGGGTCACGTAGATGCCGTGCAAGAGCTTGGGCCCGAGGGAGAGCGACACCGTCGCCGCCCTGTACCAAGACGTTGAAGCGCTTGGAGGGGACCGCAGGGTCGATGCGCACCATGTCGTTGGTGAGGCCAGCCGCGCGAATCCACTCCTCCAATCCTTGAAGAGCTTGGGCGGGCCCAACCAACTGCGGCGCCCCGATCGAGAAGATCCGCGGGTTGGGTTGACGAGACCACGCCTCCAGCTCCTGAAAGTCCATGATGGGCAGCTCCTTCTCGGCGAGGGCCAGGGCCTTGTTGATGTCCCCGATCTGCTTGCGCATGGCAGCCTGCTCCGCCTCCAGCGCGTCGGCGCGCTGACCGATGGATGCGATGTCGCGCGTCTGCACGGCGAGGGACCTGTTGACAGCCTCCTGCTGGGTCTGGAACATGCGCACCAGCTGCGTCTGGCAGGAGGTGACCTGGGCCATGGAGGTCGCGGCGATGGCATCGGTGGCCTGGCGAATGCAGCTCTGCAGCATGGCCTGCATGTCAATGCCGCCAGCGTCCACAGGAGTGGCCATCCCACCGATAGGAGTGCCAGCAGCAGGTGGTTCAGTGTGTCCATCAGCGGGGGCAGCGCGATCATGCCAGGGGTCCCCGCCAGGACGTTGCCACGGGTCAGGAGGAGCATGTTGAGGTCCAGCTTGCAGGGTACCAACGGGCGCTTGATCCACTTGCATGGCCTGGCGCTCCTGCGAGGGGAAGGCGGCCGCCGCCTCGATAGCAGCCGCGAGCTCATCCTGGGCGGCGCGATCGAGTCCTCCAAGTCCAGGGCGCACACGATCACTGGCCGGCGAGCCCGAGGCATCCGCCTCGCCGTCGGAGCGCGGGTGGCCCCGCCGAGCCCGACGCCGCGCAGGGGCACGCTCGTTCGTGCTGCGGGAGGCCGACCGCAGGTCCTCGGCTGGAGGCTGCTCCTTGCCCTTGTCGCAGCGCCTCCGACCGTCAGCAGCACCAGGGCCGCGATGGCCGCCGCCAGCACGTCCCGCCCTGCGCCGCTCCTCATCGGCCGCCATGCACTGCTGGGGAGAGCCCTCGCGGGCGCAAAACTGTGGGTCCTCGCGGACCAGGCTTTGGCGGCAGCACGCCCTGGGTGTGGCTGCAAAGAAATCCCCACTCCTGGCCGCGGCACAGCGGTATCCATTTGGACGCCGCTGCGCACCAGGACATCTTGAGCCAAAATGGCTACGGAGGAGGAGGAGGACGGGGGAGGAGGAGGAGGAGGAGGAGGAGGAGGAGGAGGAGGAGGAGGAGGAGG